ATCCCTCTAACTCAGCTTTGTCTGCCTCTAACATATCAAGCCTGGCTGCTCTATTTTTAATCTCTCTTTCCCTATCGGTTGCTTGCTTCAGTTCCCTCTCTAATCGTTCACGGATCCTCTCGACCTGTTGGAGCTCTCTGAGCTCCCTTTCGCGAGGAGTCAACGGGCTGAACTGCAAGCCCGCCATTTGACTTGTAGACTGACGAGAACCTAATGAACTAGAAGTACCCGTGGACCTTGTTGGCATTCCCAACTGGGTCCCATTGGTCCCAGACAACGCAGCAGAGGATGCTGCTGAGCTAGTCATGGTTGCTGCCCTGGCTGCTGCTTCAGCCTGTTCCCTAGCTGCGGCGTTTGCTGTTTCCCTAGCTGCTGCTAGTGCACGGGCTCTGTGTTTGGCACGAAGCCGTCTTTCTTCTCCCGGTTCTAGGGCCTGGAATACGTGCGGGATCCTACGTGATCGCGAACGTGTCAGTCTTGCATCGTCAACTCTCTCCTCATCGACGTCATTATCTGCACTAGAACTCCCTGCTGGAGTCCTACCACAGCATGTGTCTGACCGACACCTAATTTTCTAAAAATAGTTGTGTCGGGCAGGTCCCCTACTTTACCGATCAAGTGGCAGCCTACAACATTCACAATAGATTGTCAACATAGTCTAAGTGTACCTTGATTAGTTCACTTACAGCAGCATTAGATAGAACTGGCTATGGTAGTTTACAACAGTCCTACTCTAATCTGTCTATGAGGTATTAGCAGCTGTCAACCAACTAGTCAAAAATAAACAAAGACCATGTTGCAAGTGTATGATGAGTGGGTATGGTTGTGTATCCAGTTGAGCTTCAATTAGAACCTACCCTTCCCCTCAATCCAACATACCGGTAAGCATCAATGAGCAGCGGTGTCATTCGTGTGCAATGTCGGCCCACCCCTGTGCCCAAGTCATTGTCGAGCAAGCCAGCCAGTCCACTCTTGTTTACCCTCGTACGGAACGAGCCTTACACCTGGTTGATCTGGCTGATCAGGAGGAATATTAAGAGCGCCCCCATCTCTTCAGGAATTATTTAACGTCGCAGTCAGGATGACGATCACAGCCAGAATCAACCAAGTCCCCAACCAGAAATGTTTATAGACGGTCTGGTAAGCGTCTCATAAAAGGCTGGCACACCCGGCAGGACCTCTATTCAGCGCAGCAAGTGCCAAAATGGACAGCAGCCATCGCATGCGTGACCTACTCCCATTGGGTTGGCATGGTTCCCATTGGGTTGGCATGGTGACCGTGACCCAGTGCTTCGACCAGGGCCCTTCAGAGGCACCGCCCTTTCTCCTTCCAGATGCTTCCGGGAAGATTGTCGTCTCTCAAGGTAGCGCGCTCACGACACCTCACCAAAAGAGAGGACTCTCAAGTTGGACTCACTTCCTCACGGTAAGAAGAGATTGAGAGAGTAGATAAGGTAAGGGAACAACGTACCTGGAGATAGCTGCCCCCAACCACAGATTTCTCACCAATTGAGCTGAGTGTGCATTTGATGACCGGTCTTGGCCTCGGTACCACCCACAACGCAATGCAGTGCCACCTCAGCCGAATGCCACATCAGCATGCTCTCATCACCAATCATACATTCCGCCTGTCAGCCTTCCGGCGCACACCTCTCTACCCAGGCTGTGCGCCTAATATGGCCTGACGTCACAAGAACCAACTGCGAAGAAGCATCGTCAACGCACCAAGTCTGTATAACGCCAGCGCACCAAGGTAAGTGGCGAATCAAACCAGCTCCGATACCAAATTGCAAGGAACATGAGTATGGACGAAGCACAAAAATCCAGATTGCAAAATCACACTGAAGTCCAAGTAGTCAAAGCCAGAGCAGATAGCACAATGGAACCGAGTAACCATCCATTTGAGAATGATAAAGAAGAATCGTGAGTCAATGTCCAAGCCCAACAGGGCAACACCAACAGCATAACCCAATGTAGCTCTCTCTTGTGAATGGCGCCAGGCACCCTATCTACTCTGCAGCCTAAGCCTACAACTACAGCAATGAACGCAACCAGACAACTTGACGACCAGCTAGTGAGGATGTCAACTCCAATGCCGACCTCCACCTCCACCAGGTACGTCTCCTCTCTTCACCCACACTCTCCCTTGTTATCCCACACAGCGCCCTTCACCTCCGAAGAACCACCTTCGCCCTCACCTCCCCTGCGCCCTCAGGCAGCCCGGCTATGGCCGCCAGCGCCCTGCGCACACAGGCAGCGCCCTACCGCTTTAGCGCTAGCCTGCTCCCTCAGCCTTAGCGCAGCACAGCAGCTCGCGTTCGCGCAGCATGCCGACATTGCACGCACTGGCCAAGATCCTTGCCCACTCGCCCTGCTTGCCTATATGCCAGTGTTGCGTGTGGGCGGCCTCCCTCCAGCCTGCGTCTGGGCCCCAGTGGCTGAACCCAGGCCCGATACAGTTGAGGCCCGGGGCATGCAGTTGCGCCTCTTTCATCAAGGCCTGCGGTCAGATTCAGATAGTGGGCCGATTTCCCTTTGGCATTTTCGGCCTCTCTACCCAGCATGCATTGTCGGCCTCACGTTCAAGTGCCCAGGGCCTAACTAACTCAGAGGCCCTGGGATTTCCACATTTGCAGAGATCCGAGACTCGGTGCACTCCAACCAACTGGCGTGCTGCAACTGTATGGACCCCACTTCATGAAATGTTCGCACAGAGGGCTCTTGTTGATTTGCTGGGCCGCCTTCACTTAGGGCAGGCACGAGGCTTGCTGGGGCCTTAGCCCAGAACATGTACATCATGGCAAGGCCCCTTCTTGAGGGCTCAATCCTCACAATTCAGTTTATTATCTGGGAAAAAAAAAAAAAAAACAGTCCATTCCTAGGGCCTGGCTCAGTTGGTACACCCCTGAACTGAACTGTTGATGAAATACAGACCAGGTGCTGAGTTCAAACTCCACTGGAAGCAGATGAGTGAATTTACCACAGTAATTCTGAATGACCTAAGGGTTGGTAAGTTCGATGATGATATGTTAAACCGCCAGTACGTCTCCCAGCCATTTTTTCAAAGTTGCGGCTTGCATGTTGCCACAACTTTTGGAGCTCGGCCACCGGAGCAAAATGGCTGGCGGCGCCAGCCAAAACAAGGCACGTGCCAGTTCGTCTTTTCTTTGGCACTCACACAGCATGTTTCCAGCCCCGGAGAAAAGTGCCTTGGAGGCACGCGCCAGAAGTCCCCCACCCTTTCTAAAAAGAAACAGCAGTTTGCGCTGTATATTTGACTGATGCAAGGGGCCAGGCCGGTCGGTGTACTTGAGAACACAGGATGCGTCCGCACCTGTTTGCATTCCAGCACACTTGGACGTTATATTTGTCTGTTCGCTTACTGATTGATGCTCATATGTGTGCATTTACCAGCTCTTCTCAGGGCATAATCACAACACTACGGTAGGACATTGTCGACAAAGCTCTGGACGCAATTGGAGTCAGATTCATCCCAGTCTGGTCGTAATTGCAGTCTGATGCATTTCGGAAACTTAAGTGCTTAGCATGTATGCCAGCAGGAACAGGAGGAGGGGAGAGAAAGAAAGGGAAGGGAGGGGAGAAGGGAGGGAGAAAGAGGGAGAGGGAAATTTAAGGGAAAAGGAGGAACCCAATATTAGATCCTGAACACTCCCTAGGGCACAACAGATTGACTGGCATGAAGGACACCGGCCATCACACATGCTGTTGCACAGAAGAATGAATGGCAGTGCAAAAGCAGTGTATTTATGACCTGCAGCACGGGGCCCGACCCCACAGACTGGGCAAGACCGGTTTGGCAATGACCTGTCGAAGCCGCACACCCAACCCTTCACAGGGATTGCCACTGTACCTACTACACCTAGGTTGCCAAAAAAAAAAAAAAAAAAAAAAAAAAAAAAAAACGTCAACTTAAACCACCAGTTCTTCACCCATGCACGGGCCATGGAAAAAAATAGACCTGAGACGTTTCCACTTGAATCAAGTTGAATGAATTTGGAAAAGAGCCGAAAAATAGACCTGAGACGTTTCCACTTCAATGAATTTGGAAAAGAGCCGCCAGGCCTGTTCGGGCCTCACATGTGACCCGTTTTGCCTGGATGGATGTCCAGCGAAATGGCGCCCCTGGGCCAGTATATCCTGACCGACGTGGCAGCATGCACGCTGTGTCTTTGAAAAAATGGCTGGGAAAGTTGGGGGAGACGTACCTCTGGTGGTTTACCATTTTGAGCATCCATTTGAAAAGAGAAAAAGGAGCATCCAGAAAAAAAAGGGCCTCGCCACACCACTCTCGAAATGTGAAAAAGACAAAAATGTGGCGGGTGCATCTGGCCATGTTCTACCGGGAATTTCATTCTCATTTTGCAGATTTCGAGAGTGGTGTGGCAATGCCCAAAATTTAACCTGATTCATTTCGAACGTAAGGAATGTAATGCGCAGAGAAGACGTCAGAACAAAAAAGAAGATTGTCTCTTTCTCGTTTCGTTTCAACGAGAAGATATTGTTTTTCATTTTGATTTTAAAACAAGTGAGTTAGGTCCTAGTTGACATGCGAGCACAGTTTTTTGGTTTCGCCAACAAGATTGTTCCTTTTGATTCCAAGATTCCAACTTTCCAACAACAAGATCATAGCTTTTAATTTTCACTTTTGGTGGAAACGTTACGTCACCGTCCAGTTCATCACAAACACTTGGTATCTGTTGATTAACAGATGATGAGATTGAGGGCCGACGGAATCAGCAGGTGTAATATACAATTACGTTAGGACTGGTAGTCCCCTACCGTCTTCACCCGAATAGAACGCCCGGTCATTATAGATGTATCTGGACGGAAAACTGCACCAAATACGGCTATAATGACCGGCCGTTCTATTCGGGTGAAGACGGTAGTAAGAAAACAAGCAACTTGACTTTCTTGTTGAATGCGATCAGGCGGGGTTTGACAGGGCTCTTTGACTTTGCCAAATTTCTGCCGGTGCTCACCTCCAGCAACCATGGCTTGCCTTTATGATCAAGAATAATATCAAGCCCAAGCAGCTCGAAGCAAGAGAATCCTTCATCGTCTTTGTCGAGGCAGGTTCGGTAATTGTGTGCCAGCAATGGCTGTACAGAAAGCAGCGTCTTCACCGCGATATCGGCAATCAGTCCCCAGAGGTTGTCAGTGTCTACTGCTGCTGTGGTCCTAAGTGCATGCATGAGCTCAGTCAGTGACCACTTCTGCGGACTCGCAGCTGAGGGAGAGGTACACTCTGTTGCGTTTCCCTTGCTCGTTCCCTGCCGTAGCCCTTCCGCGGACGCGTTTTCCACAACAATACCACTCTTTCCTGGTGCTCCATTGGTCAGAGCATGAGAAGCCCCACCTGTCCCGTTTGGGCCCGTTAGCGACGTGAATAGAGTGGGATTTGGGTGATTATTGCCAGCGAGGGAAGCCGGGGTGCCATAAAAGGGTTGGTACAAAGGTGGAGGGCTGCCAGTGGTGCTGACCTTGTTGATGGCATAATTGGTAAGATGCATTCGACTGATTGACAGATTCTCTGGGCGAGGTGGCTCGTAAGGTTCCGTGCAAAAACGCGCAAGGCCTTCCTTGTATAGAAACACCCTCAAGGGGCTGCACGACACGACAAGAACATAGACACGCAAGTCAAATTTATAGCCATTGATGAGCATCGGACGGACGATGTATCTCTGTGCGACAACGCTGCTTCCCGACAGAGAGTCCCCAACGCTTCGCGCCAAGTCGCCTATTGTCTGCACAAGACTGATGCCTCTCCCCTGACACCCTCCATCTGGTTTCACAATGTATGTCCGGCGGAATCGCCTGACCCGCCCTCCCTCCTTCGACGGCTGTTTGGACCCTTTCCTCCCCCCTCCCCCACCTCCTCCTCCTCCTCCTCCACTGCTTCCAGCGCTTCCGCCTCCGCTTCCTCTCCCTACCCCTTTCATCCCCTGGGAATTATGCCCCCCCCCCCCCTTCCCAATCGATATTGACGCAACTCCTAACCTCTTCTTGTCATGGCTGTTCTCTTTGGCTTTGGTATTCGCAGTACTTGGGTGATGATGATGATGATGGTGATGATGGTGGTGATGATGATGGTAGTAATGATGGTGGTGGTGGTAGTAATAATAGTAACTAGATTGGACGTCGGCAGCCTTCCCGCACAGATGCTCTACCCCCTCCAATCTGCTCACAAGCTCCCCAAGATCTGCTGGCAAGACGAATGTTCGGGGAACAAATTTGTACTCTTCAGGGAAGAGTTTGCTCATCTTCTGGATGTTACGTGCGAGTAGACGCTTCCGACAGACCTCTAACATGCCATAGAAATGGTTGATTCTTTGCATACGCTTCAGTTTCATCAGCCGCTCTGCACCAACCGACGTGTCAGTCCAATAGACATGCCACTCGTCATCGTCGCCGACCTCTCGCCAACCCAGCTTACTCTGGGTCACCTTTCTGATCACGTCATACTTGCAGCCAGTCAGGTTGATTGCAACCCGAATCCGCCGATTGCCGTGCTTCTTCCTCCTACTCTTACTTGATCTACCACTATTAATAGAACGAGCTGCACTACTACCGTTATTGGTACTGCTCTTGTTAGTACGGGAACTATTCCTCAAAAGTTTCTCTCCGTTCCTCTTCTCCTTCCTCGCCACTGATGTGATGTCATCATCCTTAATATGGTGAAACTGGCCGGTTGTGCTCGCCGTTTCAGCATTGCCAAATGCTCTGGGAACAAGCCAACCAGAGCGAGAAGACACGGTTGCGCTACCTGCAAGCGTCCGCCTGTCCTCTTGCTGACGTACCTCATCCCGTTTCTGCCCCCCCTTCAAATCACATAGCTTGCAACTCAATACTACTCTTCCACCTGCCCTCTCTCCCTCTCCTCCTCCTTTGCCTTCTACTATTCCTCCTCTCCTGTCTCCTTCAGCTTCTACTCCCCCCCCCCCTCTTTCTTCCCCTCCTTCTCCTCCTCCTCCTCTTCCCCACTCTCCTCCTCCATCTCCTCCTCCTTCCCTTTCCCCTTGTCTTCCTTGTCTTTCTTCTTCTTCAGCTGCAACAGTTATCAGCTCTTGTTGCAGCGATAGTGACGAAAAGCTATGCGCCGACGAAGCGGGATAGTTCTCGTCGACGTTCATTATACGCGTGCCATCGCGCAAACTAATCAGAACCTTCCGCGGCTGGTGTCGTGCACCTGGGCTCATCCCCGAGAAGACGTGAACCACCACGGCAGAAGAGTGACTAGCTCCCCTTTCCCAGCCAAGGCCCAAGGCGACTCACCACAAAACAACAACTTGAAGGTGATCCTGTCCTCACAGAGGATCGATAGGTCATTTTAACTGGACTCTGCTGAAATATATGCTTGTCCATGAGTACCTAACCTTGGGCTTGGACGACCAACCAAAACAGAATTTCTCCAACTGCACCTGGATCTGGGCCACTTCATAAAAAACAAAGGCTCTCCTCTTCCACGCTCTCTTCCACTTAGTACCACAACGCCTCTTCCACGCTCTCTTCCACGCTGGTCAGTGGTCAGAGGCGTTGTGGGGCACTTAGAAAAAAACAAAAGGCTCTCTCTTCCACGCTCTCTTCCACGCTCTCTTCCACGCTCTCTTCCACGCTCTCAACCATATGTTACACGGTGATTGATGAAGCACACACCTGACAGTGCACCCTTCTGTTTAATGGAGGACTGTTCTGTTGTGTCTTTCTGTCGGACTGAACATATCTGGCTGAGGAACTGCAGGTACTTTCCACCAGTTAATACGTACTTTCTGCCGATCGATGACGGATGACTTGTGTGTCCAGGAACGCGAGAGTTGGATACAACACACCTCTGCCCGTCCCCTGATGCACACACGATCATGATTCCATTAGGCGGTCTGTAACAGAGCATTTGTCGAAGAGACACGCATACCCTCTGGTAGTTTGTGCGTTACCTCGCGACGCTGCCAGATTCCGCGGTTGCTGCAACACAGCAAACACGAAAACATGCCACCTCTCTCTCCCTTGCTCCTCCTCGCGATTCTTCTAGAAGTTTCTCTCAGCAGCATCCTGACCTGACAAGAAAAAGTTAACAAGGCAGATGGAAGACGGGCAATACAATATAAGGTTACACTGAACACACTGTGGCTGAATGGTACAAACAGGTCATGAGTTCAAGGGTTGAACCCTGATAGTTATACAGTAACGTTAGGAGATATCCCTTTCTTTTTCCTCTTTTTTGAAAAAAGAGGAAAAGAAAGGTAGGAGTTGCAGAGATAAGCGGGGTTAAGGGAGGAAGAGGAGGAGAAGAAGAAGAAGAAGAAGAAGAAGAAGAAGAAGAAGAAGACGAAGAGGAGGAAGAGGAGGAAGAAGAAGAAGAAGAAGAAGAAGAAGAAGAAGAAGAAGAAGAAGGAGGAGGAGGAGGAGGAGGAGAAGAAGGAGAAGAAGGAGAAGAAGAAGAAGAAGAAGAAGAAGAAGAAGAAGAAGAAGAAGAAGAAGAAGATGATGATGATGTCTATACGGGTGTTGAGGAAACGCACGACATCTAAGAGACTCCGGCGGGGAAACACGAATTGCGTTGTACACGAGTATAAAAATAGTACGGACGAGGTTGGCCAGTTCCACATCGATCTGGGGCACAAGGGTAGGCCGATTGCACACCTTTAGACATGCTGCTCAACCAGAGCTTTAGGGACGTCGACATTAAGTGACAACTCAAGAGAGATTAAGGTGGAGGGAAGATTCCAGTAAACTTCTTGATTGTTAATTATTGTTTATTTCCATTCGGCTTGCATTCCAACAGATGATTTATTAAACTTATTTTTATTTTGATTAGTTAGTTGTTACGGACTCTGCTCGATCATTAAGAATGTAGAACCCCTACCCCGCATTGACGACCTCTTGGATAGGGTGCAGGGATGCCGGTACACCAAGATAGATTTGAAGTTCGAATACCATCAGATTGCCATAAGGCCCCAGGATCAACACAAAAAACGCCTTTCAGACCAGGTACGCTCTGTTCGGTCCTTGCAATGCTCCTGGGGCATTCCAGCACGTGATGAATAAGATCTTTCACAACTACTTAGATAAGTTTATCGTTTTGTACCTCAACGACATCCTTATCTTTACTAGGATTGTAGAGGAGCACGTTGAGCACATGAAGATAGTGCTAGGGTTCCTAAGACAGCACCAGTACAAGGTCAACTTGGAAAAATGTGAGTTCGATCGCACCAAGATCTTGTACCAGGGTCATGAAATTTCAGCAGATGGTCTGAGGCCGGATGATGCCAAGGTGGCCAACATACGTGACTGGCCCAAACCTCAGTCTATGACTGAGGTGAGGTCCTTCTTGGGAATGGCGGGCTACTATCGTCCGTTTGTGAAGAACTATAGTACTACAGCTTCCCCACTAACCGACCTCGTTCGCCTTGACACCCCGTGGCCCTGGACAGATGAGTGCGAAGCAGCCTTCAAGAGACTGAAGTACTGCCCTCACGCACCATGAAGTCTTGAAGCTCCCCAATCCTGAGAAGCCTTTCATCGTGACCACGGATACCAGTCAATATGGCATTGACGAGGTCCTTGCGCAACAGGAGGGGAGGAAGTTGAGGCCGATCGAGTACATGAGCAAGAAGATGTCATCTCATAAACTAGCTAAGTCCACCTATGAGTGAGAGCTCTACACCCTATACAAAGCCTCAACTCATTGGAGGCACTACCACCTTGGCAGATTTTTCTACGTGGGATCTGATCATGAGACTCTTCACTGGATCAAGACGAAACCTGCTTTCTCCGATGCACTGAAAAGATGGATTGAAGTCATAGATATATATGACTTCAAGCTAGATCATCTTAAGGGAGAGTATAATAAGGTAGCGGATGCATCATGGGCGCACTAGTGACTGAGTTCGGAATATCAAACAAGTTGACTTGATCTATGGTGGAGGCCTATCAAAAGGACCCCATCATGTCGGAGATCATGCACAAACTTGAGGCCAAGGACAAGGCCACATCGGGCGAATTTGTGTTGATCAACGACTTGTTGTTCTTCGAGAAGGCAGGGAATAAATGTTTCTGTGTTCCATCTAGAGACTCTTTGCATAGTTCATTTTTAGGTGAGTGCCACAATGCAACCGGTCATTTTGGGTTCAAGAAAAGATCAGCGAACCTAGTGCAGCGTTTCTGGTGGCCCAGGATGATTGATGATGCGAAAAAGTATGTAGAGACATGCCATGTTTGTCAGCGTGACAAACCAAGAACACAGGCACCGGTGGGGCTTCTCAAGCCCTTACCTATTCCTGCTGGCCCTGGCCAGAGTGTCTCCATGTACTTCATGGATACCCTCGTGACCTGCAAGAGCGGCAAACGACACATCTTCGTCATCGTGGACAAATTTAGTAAGTATACTAGACTGATAGCCATGCTTGAGACAGCTAGGACTGACCACGTGATAAAGCTATTTATTCAATTTTATTGACAATTGAGTGCGTGACTTTGGTCTACCGAAGTCTATTTTGAGTGATAGAGGTGTTCGGTTCACTAGTGAATTGTGGCAGGAAACAGCCAAAAAGATGGGGACCCAGCTACAAACGACTTCGGGTAACCACCCTCAGTCAAATGGCCAGGCAGAGCAGATGACCAAGTTGTGCAGCACTTGCTGAGGCATTACATCATGCCGAGCGAAGATGACTGGGATGAGAAGCTACCTCCCATTGGCAGCATGTACAACAACGCTGTGCACAGCACCACCTGCATGACTCCCAACCAACTTCATCTTGGTTGGAAGCCACGATCCCTCTTGAGTTTCTGCTGCCAGAGAACCAGCCCGCAGGAGCACCAGGCAGTATTGAATTTGCTGTCAAGGACGAACAGATGCTGCACCAGGCTGTAGAACAGATTAGAAAAGCTCAGGATGCTATGGTAGCATCTGAAAACAGAAAGCACGAACGTGGTCCTCAAAATGACCAGGTTAGTGCTTTCTTCACAGCCTGAACATAGCACCCGCAGGGTCTTCCCCTAAAGGATGGATCTGCCGCTGCGGCCCCCACAGTTGTTATGATGGCCCCCAGAAAGCACGAACGTGGTCCTAAAATTGCCCAGGTTCATGCTATCTTTACAGCCTGAACATAGCACCCGCAGGGTCTTCCCCTAAAGGATGGAGCTGCAGCCCCCACAGCTGTCTGAACGGATCTCAGAAAGCACGAACCTGGCCCTAAAACTCCCCAGGTTCATGCTTTCTTCTCAGCCTGAACATAGCACCCGCAGGGCCTTCCGTAAGGATGGATCTGCAGCTGAAAATTGTGCTGGTGCCCCTAAACCGCCAGTACACGACGCCAGCCTTGCTGGAAAAAAAAAAAAAGAAAAAAAAAAGCAAAAGAAGTTTTGTCGCCTGGAAAAAGAAAAAGAAAAAGAAGTTTTGTCGCCTGGAAAAAAAAAAAAAAAAGTCAGGGCAGCTGATAAAGTAAATCAACGGCCGCTGTTGCGTTTCGGCCTCTGACAGGAGCCCGCGGCCCATCTGGGGCGTGTACTGGTGGTCTAACGATTTGTTTGAAAGAGAGCAAAGATTCTGCTTTTCAAATCCAGAAACCAGATGAACCTGGTCATACAACTCGACAGGTTCATGCTGGAGCCTCCATGCCACACAGCGGCACCCCATAGGAGGGCTTTCCGATTTTTTTTATTTTATTTTTTTTCATTTTTATGTTATTTAGGGTTTACTTTTGTTTACGTATTTTTTGGTCCGGCTTCTCCAACCGAGGGCCTTGAGCTTTTTTGGAAAATTGCATCTGTACCCCTCTTAAAGATGGGAATACCCACTATACCCAGTCAAGCGCCCAACTTGCATCTATACCCAGACTGTTACATGCTGAAAGCCTACACACGGGCCCCTCACGGGACCCGAGGTTGGAAAAGGGGCCCCAGGTCGCGTCCCCGCAACCTGAAGGCCCTATGGCATTTTTACTTGGGCCTGCATCAGAAAAATGCCAGCTTTAGAATATTTTTATATTCTTTTATTTATTTATTTGCTGCTGTTTTTCTAACGGTTGTACTGTTGTCCGTTTTGTGGCCAGGTACACGTTTTAGGACCAGGGCCAGATTCAGGCCCAGAGGCTGAGCACCTAAAAACGTTTGGCCCTTTTCTTTTGTTTTCGAACAGATTGCTACCTGTTCGGACCCAGGCCGACGTTGAGGCCGGGTACGTCCGCACAGGACCGGTTCGAAGCCAGGTACCAGGAAATGGAATCCTGGACAGGGCCTGGACGTCCGGTAGGGACCCAGGCAGGCCGTTTTGAAACGGTATTCACCAATTCGTGGTAGCTGAGGTAGATCCCAGGGCTCGATCCCTAGTTCCCCAACTTACCTGTGTACAAT